TTTTTTTTTATTATTTCTACTGATAATAAATTCAATTTTCTTATTCTATAAATATAATAACCAAATGAAAAAAAAAAATCCTATTAAATACTTCTGCAACACATTTTCCTGCTTATGAAATTTTCTTTACTCTCTCATGAAAATAAAGTTTTATTATTAATGAAACAATTTAGTAAATAAATAATATCACAAAAAAACTACGTTTGGTTAATAAATATTATTAATATCATGAAATTAAAAATTGGTTCTTCATAAAAGTAAAGTAAAAAAAAATAATAATAATAATAATAAATCATATGGACCGACTGTATTAAACACAATCAGAGATTTCCTAATATACAGTATATATATTATTTTAACTTCGAGACATTCCCAACGGTTCTCTAGAGAACAAGCACAGAACACGCAAAACGAACCACATACACGTAGTGGTCAACATCGGTGCGGTTCAGTAAAAAACCGAACCGTACTGAGACCGAATATTTAAGATTTCTTAATCGAAACGCACCGCAATAGAAGAAATAACCGGTTAACCGAAATTATAAAAGGATAACCACAAATTAATGTTGGGAGTGAAAATTAGGGCCATAAAGAACATAAATGAAAATTTTTACTTTTAAATTTTAAATGTAAATGTTTATGTGATGTTGTGCCCTAGCCCGCGGTCGCCTTTGACCGCTCGGCCCGTCCCGGATGCCTCACGCTCTGTGTTGGTGTCGTTTGCCATGTGGTCTGCCCTTCGGTCGCTGGTGGTTCTGCGATTGGAGGCGGCGTTCCCTTGATCGACGATCTGACAGTGTTGGCGGTTCCCTCTCAGACACCAGTGGCTCGTCCCTCTCTCAACGCTTCGTCTGTGTTCGAAGTTCCCCTTGGACTGCTTTGCTTCTCAGGTGGGGCGTCCGGTGGGGTCTGGTAGATGGTCGTCTGTTTTCTGCGGTGGCCTTGGGTGGTGAGTGGGTCAGCGGGCGGGTCCGAACTCAGGCGGCTGTGGCGTTCTATGTCGGGGTTGCCGGAGTTGCAGTAACGGGCACCTCTCACCACCTCTGGTTCTCTGGTGTTGGGGACTGGGTGGGTCTGGAGCTTCCGAGCTCGGCTAGTGATGTTAGACGAGGTCGGGTAGTGCTGGAGTTGGAGATGGTCTTGTTCTCTAGATTGGAGGTGAGTCGACTCAAGATGGGTTCAAATCTCGGGTTCAGCTTCTGTATAGGCGGTTTCGCAGTTTCGGTAGCAGTTCCTAGGGCTTGAGATCTTCTTGGGCCGATTGTTTCTCTACTGGTTTGGGCTCGTTAGTTGGCTGGGGAAGGGCCTATCTATCGTTAATAGTTATTTAGTTTTTTTTTGTTTGAGTCTGTGTTAGGTAAGGTTTGTGTTTTTTGTTTAGGTTGTTGGCCTCTGTTCTGATTACCCTGTGGGGGTGGTTCCTATTCTCCTGTTGGGAGCTTGGTAGTTTGTGTTTAGGTGTCTGTTGAGTTGAGTGTCGTGTGTTTTATTATAACGTTGCTATCGTTGATTTTTGGCGGCGGTCTTACGATATGTCCTCTTAGTTTTTTAGAGTTTGGTTGTAATATTCAGCTATGTGCTGCGTTTTTGCACATTTGTGCACTTTTATCTATAATATTTCTATCGTTACGAAAAAAAATGTTAATTTTACTCAATGTATGATATTCGGTGCGGTTCGGTTAAAACCGCATCGAAATATCTACGGTTTTCTAAAATCCAAACAACACCGTTAACCGAACTCTTCAAAATCGCACCGAACTATACCGAGTAGCTCGATTCAATTTATTTTTTCGATTTCGACTCGATTTTGCTCACCGCTATATATACACGAACAAATTGCTGATAGTAAGTAAAAGTTAGGGTGACGACTGAGAAGGGCCAAATATATATATGAACCTCTATTATAATTTCTAAGGTCAAGTTGACACGTTATTCTGGCTTTTACGCCTCAAACAAAAGATCACACCTTGCAAAAGTTTTGATATGAGTAAAGTTAATTATATATATATGAACAAATAGGCAAAACAAAAGTATTTTACGGTGCAAGTTGCGAAGTAAAGTGGAATTTCTAGGCAACTTCCCACCAATTGGTGGTTGGCAGTAATTTAAACTTGTTGCTCATTTTAGTCCCAACACAGCAGTTGCTGCTCTCAAACGCATTGTACCATTTCAAGCCAAAAAAAAAAAAATAAAATAAATAAATAAATAAAAAATAAAAAATAAATACCACTTGTTCAAAAAAGAGTTGATTTGAAGGTCAACCAGTGAGCCAAAGAAAATATGGAACCAAACGATAAGAAATGTGGAAGAAAAGAAGATGAGGATGAGGTTTCACATGTCATGCCCCCGACCATAAGTGGTCGAGTCAAGAAAATACACTCGACTTTCAACGAGAAAAATGGAATTGTCTCACTAATTGTTTCTTGTATTTTATGTCATTAAATAAATCATTTGTGTTATTTCAGTTCGAGGGCTTTCGCTGGTAGTAGCTGTTCGAATATCACTTCTGAGTTGTCTCGCATTGATAATATAGATATAAATTGAGCCTAGCTTACAAGCTTAGTGGACTACTTCTCACATTGGTTTTGAGATAGAACCTCATTAAGGTCTAAGGTGTATCTAGATTCGCCATCTTATGGTGCGCTTCACCTAATGGGACAACACCCTCTTACCCCAGTTTTAATATGGTATCAGAGCGAGTCTGTCTTAAGACTTGCAATGACCTCTCTACCCAGCCTGCTCTGGGCTTAGCTCTATAACTCTACCCGACTTGCTCTGGGCGCCTAGCTTATAAGCCTACAATAACCTCTCTACCCACCCTGCTCTGGCTTGTGCTGTATATCTCTACCCGTGCACCTGCACCTAGGTTCACCCTCTTATGGTGCGCTTCACCTGGTGGGACCGCACTCTATTCCCTCAGTTCTAATAGTAGCAACTAGCAAGTATACTAGCAAACAGTTGATTTCATAGTAGAGTCAATCTTCTATATATACAACAATTAAATTATACCATATTCTCTTGTTACTTAAATAATACTAATAATTTTATTAATATGATATGATTTACTTGTTGTATATAGAAGGTTGGCTACAGTATACTTGTTGTATATAGAAGGTTGGCTACACTATGAAGCCAGCTGTTGGCTTCATAGCAAAAGTGGAGCCAACTGTTGGCTTCATAGCAAAACTGATAGTTTCAAATCATTCTCTTAATTACAATTACTTTTCTATTGCACATAATGAATTCATTAATCACATTAATGAAACAGTTGAGAATTTGTCAGTGTTCTAAAAGTCGCTAGGCGCCCGCTAGGCGCTCGACCAGCGCCTAGAGCGCCTAGACGGTGCCTAGAAATTAATACTAAATATCTTATTTTTTATTTATTTTAACTACCTACAAAATAAAATTATCTCAACTTATAATAAATCGGCGCACCTAAGTCCAAATAATAAAAATAATATATTTTAAAGAAAACATGAGAACAAATTAATGTAATTAATATTTAAAAAATAAAAAAAAAAACTGAAAAATTGTCGCCGAGCTCGCCTAAGAGCGCCTAAGTCCGCCTTGCCCGCCTCGACATCGCCTAACCGCCTGACCGCCGAGCCCGTCAAGGTCGCCTAAGAGCGCCTAGGGCCGCCTGACCGATTTTTTCTACCGATTTGTGCAAATCGGAGGCGCCCGGGCACCGCCTAGTGCCTAGGCGCCGCCTAAACGACCGTTTAAGCCAATTTTTAGAACAGTGGAATTTGTATGGTAATTACTGATTATTTTCATCAACTCAAAGTCACTCACCCACATACATTGCAATGCAAATTAATAATTTTCTTTTCCCAAAATTAATTGTTTGTATAAGCACAAAACTATCTTTATCGCTTGCTAACTACTTGTACAAATGGAATCAAGAAAGTTAAATATGCATGATTGTGGTCATGGACCAGGCTACCTGAGAGAAAATTAGGTCGTTGACACTAAATCAAACATATGACATCTCAACCATTGATTGCCTTTTTTTAAAAAAAAAATAATAATAATAATAATAATAAGAAAAAAAAAATATTGGTTACTCCTTGTATCTTTACTAGTGTGGGTGATACTCAAAACTAAAGTCAATGCTTAATTTCTTGAACAAAGACAATAATGGCACAATCCAACACTACCCATTCTCACCGAATTAAATAGATTTAAAATTAAAAAAAATAATAATAATAATATCATAAGTTTCTTCATTATCTTTGAAAGTAACTAAAAAACGGGTCCACACAAAGTGGTTAATCATTTTCTTCGAGAAACCCATTTGATTTTTCTTTCGGTAGCCAACCACGATATCCGGAGTTTTGCCCCGACTGACAATGATGGGTGAATCTCTCAACAAGAGTTTTCTGCATTCACAAGGACTCGAACCCGAGACTTTACTTAAGTGACACCAAACTGCTTACCACTTAGAGTCGAGTCAACCCTGTTGGTAAACCTATTTGATTTTTTTCAGCAATCACATTCCCTTCTTAACAAGGTAACTCAGTGTCACATTATCCCCCTCTCTGCATTTCCATCTATTTTTTGTCCTCGTATATATTATTGATCAAACTGATGCCTCAAAACTGTTTGCTTCTGTGTATATGCCCACATTTAAGCAGTATATAAAGCCTCTAAACTTAGAAATAACAACCAAACACACACACAAAAAAGAAAAAAGCAACAAAACTTATCAGATGCTACATCTTTGCTACTTCCTCTTTGTTCTTCTCATCTCTCTGCTCGAAGAAAATGTACTTTGCTGCAATGAAATCGAGCGCCGATCCCTTTTATCTTTCGCAAACTCCACTCGTCATCTCAACTGGTCTTTATCAACCGACTGCTGCCGATGGGAAGGTGTTTCTTGCACGTTAAACCATCGTAGAAATGCTCGAGTCACTGGCTTATCGCTGCCCGGAAAATCCCTCTCCGGCACACTCGACGTTCCCTTTCTAGCAAACCTTTCCTATCTCTCTCACCTCAATCTCTCCCACAACCATCTCACCGGCCCTCTACCGTTCTCGGCTTTTCAGTCCTTATCACGTCTGCAAATGCTCGACTTGAGTTTCAACCAGTTTTCCGGTGGTTTGCTCCAACCGCCAGCACGATCATTGCTGCTTTCGGTTTCCATCCGGTTCTTGGACTTATCGAGCAATCGGCTAAACGGGTCCTTAGATCATGCGTTTTTCCGGCATTTGCCGAATTTGATCACTTTCAACGTAAGTAACAATACCTTTACAGGTCAGATACCGTGTTCGTTTATTTGCTCGAGCTGTCCTTCTCTGGAGGTCTTGGATCTTTCAAACAACCAATTTAATGGGTCTGTTTTGCCCGGTCTTGGCGAATGTTCGAAGCTGAAGATTTTCAAGGCTGCTTTTAACTCTTTATCCGGGTTGCTGCCGAACGATCTTTACGAAGTGAAAACGCTGCAGCAAATCTCTCTGTCTAACAATTTGTTTTCCGGGCCAATCAATGACTCCATTGTTCACCTTCCCAAGCTCACCATTTTAGAGCTCCAAGTGAACGAGTTAACCGGAGAGATGCCTATCGGTATTGGGTTGCTCTCGAATTTAGAGCAACTTCAGCTTCACACAAATAGCTTGGAAGGGCCACTGCCTCAGTCTCTAACCGACTGCTCCAGCTTGAAAACTCTGCTCTTGCGCAACAATAATTTTAGTGGCGAAATTTCGATTCTCGATTTCTCTAAGCTACAACGTCTCCAAGCAGTCGATCTTGGTAACAACAGCTTCGTTGGGGAAATTCCGAGTAGCTTTTGCCTTTGCAGGTCGATAACGGCCCTTCGACTGGCATATAACATGCTTACGGGCGAAATCCCGCCGTGCATGGCTTCGTTAACATCCTTAACTCATTTCTCGGTTTCGAACAATTATCTGTCGAACGTCGCTGGAGCATTGAAAATTCTGCGGCACTGTGATGAGCTGGCAGTCTTGTTCATGTCGAGATGTTTTAGAGACGAAACAATGCCAGACGACGATGGTTACGATGATTTCTCGTTTCAAAATCTGCAGATATTGACTCTTGGAGGATGCCAGCTCAAGGGAAGAATACCATTTTGGATTTCGAAGCTGAGAAGGCTCAAAATACTGAATCTTTCTTACAACAGGATCTCGGGCCCGATCCCAACGTGGCTAGGATCAATGCCGAGCCTTTTTGTTCTGAACCTGACTCAAAATGAGCTTTCAGGGCAGCTCCCGCGCGAGATAACCCGTCTCCCGGCTTTGATCTCGGACAACACGAGCTCCGACCTGAGTTATCTGGCACTGCCTTTTTTATTCGATGCCCACCAATACAACCGTCTGTTTAATCTGCCGCGGGCTTTGAAGGTGAATATCAACAATCTGAGCGGGAGTATTCCGGGAGAACTAGGAAGGCTTAGGCTCATTCGCGTGTTGGAACTCGGTGAGAATAACTTCAACGGCAGGATACCGGAGCAGCTGTCGAATCTCGTGAACTTGGAGATGCTCGACATGTCTGGAAATAATCTGACGGGCGAGATCCCACAATCGTTGACTGGTCTTAGTTTTCTTTCGTCGTTCAGCGTGGCCAATAATGATCTTCAAGGGGAAATCCCGAGAGGGGGCCAGTTTGATACATTCCCGGCGGCGTCTTTTGAAGGGAATCCAAAACTTTGTGGGTTTGTGATTAGAAAGAGGTGTGATGATAATGGTGGTGTTTTGCAGGCAGAGGCTGATGAAGAGGATGATGAGAGTCAATGGTACATAGATAATCTCCCTTTTGGGTTGGGATATTTGGTGGGACTTTTTGCTGTTATGGTTGCTATGTTTTGGAGAAGTGTAAGAGGATAGTTGTCATAATAATTAACTACAAAGAAGCATATGTAAATTTGTTAAGGGAAAGTGATACTTGTTATGATTTTAGCTGCTAAAGAATAGGATGTGATTGCATTGTATTTCTCCAGTGTTATAAAAATAAGAGCATTGGCAGCCAACCAAGTTTTTATTACATCACACAGAAAAAAAATATCAACAGAAATGTGGAGAAGCAGCAATTCATGCCAGTAATCAAAATCAACGTCGATGTCCATTAATTCGAAACAAACAAAAATGAAAATGAATTTGATCGCAACCGAGAAAGATCAAATCAAAATCGTTCACGACAAAAGAACTATAGGAAGGTTGTAGCGGTAACACCATTACAGCTTATTAGCCTCGGTATCTCTCAGTACAATTTGTTCTGCCACAAGTACATGTTCAGAAAGGCCACATGAAATGGATGACTTCAACTAAAACAATTCTAACGAGACAAGTCCCATCACTACAGATATATTTACAGGTAAACTCCACAATGGGTGGAAGCAATCCCAGATGTTCTTCAACTCCTCGTGGCCCTCTAGAGATAGTGCTCGACTTCTGAT